CCAGTTTTTGCCCATTCAGTATGATATTGGCTGTGGGTTTGTCATAAATAGCTCTTATGATTTTGAGATACGTTCCATCAATACCGAATTTATTGAGAGTTTTTAGCATGAAGGGCTGTTGAATTTTGTCAAAGGCCTTTTCTGCATCTATTGAGATAATCATGTGGTTTTTATCATTGGTTCTGTTTACATGATGGATTACATTTATTGATTTGCGTCCCAGGGATGAAGCTGACTTGATTGTGGTGGATATGCTTTTGGATGTGCTGCTGTATTGGGTTTGCCAGTATTTTATTGAGGATTTTTGCATAAATGTTCATCAGGTTATTGGTCTAAAATTCTCTTTTTCCATTGTGTCTCTGCCAGGCTTTGGTATCAGGATGATGCTGGCCTCATAAAATGAGTTAGGGAGGATTCCGTCTTTTTCTATTGATTGGAATAATTTCAGAAGAAACGGTACCAGCTCCTCTTTGTACCTCCAGTAGCATTCAGCTGTGAGTCCCTCTGGTTTTGGACTTTTTTTTTTGGTTGGTAGGCTATTAATTATTGCCTCAATTTCAGAGTCTGTTATTGGTCTATTCAGAGATTCAACTTCTTCCTGGTTTAGTATTGGAAGGTTGCATCTGTCCAATAATTTACCCATTTCTTCTAGATTTTCTAGTTTATTTGCGTAGAGGTGTTTATAGTATTCTCTGATGGTAGTTTGTATTTCTGTGGGATCTGTGGTGATATTGCCTTTGTCATTTTTTATTGCATCTATTTGATTCTTCTCTCTTTTCTTCTTTATTAGTCTTGCTAGCAGTCTATCAATTTTGTTGATCTTTTCAAAAAACCAGCTCCTGGATTTGTTGATTTTTTGAAGGGTTTTTTGTGTCTCTATGTTTTTCAGTTCTGCTCTGATCTTAGTTATTTCTTGCCTTCTGCTATCTTTTGAATTTGTTTGCTCTTGCTTTTCTAGTTCTTTGAATTGTGATGTTAGGGTGTCGATTTTAGATCTTTCTTGCTTTCTTTTGTGGGCATTTACTGCTATAAATTTCCATCTACACACTGCTTTAAATGTGTCCCAGAGATTCTGATACATTGTGTCTTTGTTCTCATTGGTTTCAAAGAACATCTTTATCTCTGCCTTCATTTCGTTATTTACCCAGTAGTCATTCAGGAATAGGTTGTTCAGCTTTCATGTAGTTGTGTGGTTTTGAGTGAGTTTCTTAATTCTGAGTTCTCACTTGATTGCACTGTGGTCTGTGAGACAGTTTGTTGTGATTTCTGTCCTTTTACATTGGCTGAGGAGTGCTTTAATTCCAATTATGTGGTCAATTTTAGAATAAGTATGATGTGGTACTGAGAAGAATGTATATTCTGTTGATTTAGGGTGGAAAGTTCTGTAGATGTCTATTAGGTCTGCTTGGTGCAGAGTTGATTTCAAGCCCTGGATATCCTTGTTACCTTTCTGTCTCATTGGTCTGTCTAATATTGACAGTGGGATGTTAAAGTCTCCCATTATTATTGTGCAGCAGTCTAAGTCTCGTTGTAGGTTTCTAAGGACTTCCTTTATGAATCTAGGTGCTCCTGTATTGAGTGCATGTATATTTAGAATAGTTAACTCTTCTTGTTGCATTGATACATTCAATATTATGTAATGCCCTTTTTTGTCTCTTTTGATCTTTGTTGGTTTAAAATCTGTTTTATCAGAGACCAGGAATGCAACCCTGCTTTTTTTTTTTTTTTTTTTTTTTCATTTGCTTGGTAGATCTTCCTGCCTCCCTTTATTTAGAGTCTGTGTGTCTTTGCATGTGAGATGGGTCTCCTGAATACAACACACTGATGGTTCTTGACTCTTTATCCAATTTGCCAGTCTGTGTCTTTTAATTGGGGCATTTAGCACATTTACATTTAAAGTTAATGTTATTATGTGTTAATTTGATCCTGTCATTATAATGTTTCTTGGTTATTTTGCCTGTTAATTGATGCAGTTTCTTCCT